GACATTGAATGCACATTGAATGGCTGTTGTAGGCCTACAAGTCCTACTGTTGCCCACAGTACAATGCCACGATTTCCCGATTTCGACAACGGAAAAACTTTTCCCGATGTACCGAGACCACCGGGTCAATGCACGCGTCGGGTCATTGCACGATTTCCTCACTTTCTCAACACCACAAAATGAAGCTGTGCAGCCACGCACAAAAGCGATGATCGCGAGAAAAGTTGGCGGGATGATGTGTTGATGTATACAAAAGCCCTCTGTGAAGGACTAATAATTGCGAGTTGCGGTGCGGCCGCTGCGGGTGGTGACTGTGCAGGAGGGTGGAGGAGCCTCCTCTACAACAACACCACGCCGCGCACGCGCAGAACGGCTCTTTTTTGTACAAAATTCTGCAGGTGCTTTCTATGATACCTTGCGCTTGCCTGATTGGGATAATTGTATAGCTTTAGCAGCGTCGCGCTCTTGCTTTTTGCGCTTGCAATTGGCGGCTTCTTCTGCTCTCCTCTGCCTCGAGGCCTCAAGGCGCGCAGCGTACGCAGCAGAGCGTCTCTCTTTCTCCAACTTGTTGCGTAGCATTGCAGCAGCTCGCTCCTCGCGTTGATGGTGTTTTGCCACTTCTTCTTCCAGTCTCTTTGTCTTATTAAGCCTGTTGCGATGACGTGCGTCGCGTACTTTGCTAGGGGAGTAGAGGAGGGTTTTGCTGCGTCCCTTCTTCTGTTGGTGTAAGTCAAGAGTCTCCCGCTTCTTCTTTTAGGGGTTTTGTGCAGCAACTGCTGCAGAGTGTCCTTTATTTTTAGCTGTAAGTATCTTACAAGAAGCAGAGAGGTGGTGGAGAGTACAGCGGAGCTGCCTTGCGTTATCTAAGGTGTTTCCACCCACAACAGCTTTGTACAATTAATTAATTAAGCGCTAATTATGGGCCTCAATGGGCGGAGGGGTCTTATACTCACTGTTGCTATTGTTGTCCTATTAGCTAAGTACTATGTTAGGGTTGAGCGGCTATATACCTGTGTTCTCGAAGACGCTGAGTATGAGCTCTTTGGTGAACGCTTGCTGCCAGGATCACCAGAAGAGCATAAAGAAGTCGCTCTTAGGCACGCCTGAGATGCCTTGGCTATCGTGAAGGTGCTGGGTGACGGCACTGCTGTAGTTTTGAGCCAATAGAGCGAAGCACACAACGTCGAGCGGCTGCAGCGACTAAGTACTGTGTGGAGGAAAGATCGCTAGCAGAATCTTGTGCTGGTTGCAGAAATTAATAAAGGCTATTGTTATATAAGAGCCGTAACGTACCTCACAGGTGAGTGGCCGGCCCGGGCGAGTGACCGGATTTTGTCAAGACCACACCAAACTTCAACTTCTCTTGCATATTACAGCAAGTTACTGCAAGTTTCTATAACTTACAGTATACAGCACTAATCTACAGTATCTTAGGTATCTTTTATGCACATTTGCGCGTTATGCCCTGCCTTACTACACCTGCTATAGTGTTGTAAAGACTAAGTACCTAGTTTAACGCGCCTCTTCTTGCTTACCTTCTTCCTATCACTACAGGCTTTAAACTCCTTTAGGGTAGTTAAGCGCACTCCTTTACTAATAGTAAGAGTCCCCCTCTAAATCTGCTTCCTCTTGTGTAATTTATGGCGTGTGGCAGCCTTATTAGCAGCTTAATGTAACGGGCTAGGCCCGATGGTAGCGCCTCGGCGCTCGCCGGCCTCGGCCAACCTCCGAGAGGAGGCGCCTGCCCAGCTGTACCCCCAGTCAGGAGGTCCTAATCTTGACTAATTGTGTAACCTCCGCACGGAGGACATAAAAGTCTGCGGAGGACATAAAAGTCTGCAGACCTCCGCCTGCAGCCACTCCTCAACAAATCCATTTGATTCATACTTGCAAATAGCCCGCAGAGGCCAGCTCCTTACACTTAAAGCTCTGCAACCTAGTTACGCACTAAAACTAGTGAATGCGCTATTATCTCTGTGCCCTTAGTGAGCTAATTAAGAGCATTAACTATTAAAGTTAGAGAGCTATTACTATATTATTAAATCCTCTCTTAAATAAGCTTTAATTGCAACCTAAATTCTAGGGTGTTCTAAAGGGTTTAAGAGTGCTACATACTCTTATCTACAGTAGGTAGTAGTAGAGTAAATAGGTGCACTTTAAGCTTTAATATTACAGCCTCTAGATTAAAGGAGACTAAACTAGCAACTCTAAATCCTCCCTAGATATTACTACTAGTAATAGAGGCATTAAAAGCTCCTTTATAGCATAGTAAAAACTTAGGTTTTGTGATGCAAGTAATCTTGTTGCGCATTAGCAGCTTAGCTTAGCAACTATAGGCCTTCTTTATTAGGGTAAAACAACCTATGTTAAGCGGCTGCAACGGGTGTGGTAAGTAAAGAGGCATAACGTGTTTCACAAGCGAGCGCCGCACCCAACCAAGCGCCGCACTTTCAACAACAGAACGCCTGCGCAGCGCTATATCACAACACAACACAAATAAATAATTGTTTGCAGGCCTAGATAGTATTATTTAGAAGCTTTACTATTATCTACATCCTCTATTTCTACCTTATAAGTGTAGGAATTATATCTAATCTTACTATAACGCCTATAGTATTGTCTAACACATACCCTCTTTACAGGTATCTTACCCTTACTATAACCTCTACCCCCTTTTTTAGTAATTAAGTTAGCTACTTTACTAACTATAAGGGTCTCCTCTATGTGTATATATTATTACTTATAGGTCTTGCGCTTTGTAGACACTTCTACAGTGTCTTAAAGGTAGCCTATTTCCTCCTACATTAATACTATATTATAAGCTATCTACTAAGCGCCCTTTGCTAACTATTTAACCTGCTTATCTAACAAACTTGCTAGAGACCCTTAATAGATTTAAATCTACTTTTAAATTAGAGTTAACTACTCCTCTACTTTGTAAGCAGTGTGTGGTGTCTTTAGCTCCTAGGCAACGTTGCTAGGTTTTAGTGGCGTTAGCGTGCGCAGGCGCACATTAAGCTTTAATAACACCACCTCTAGGTTGTGTAGGACTAGCCTAGCACCTCTAAAGCCTGCGCGAAAATTCTCTCTAGTAAACGCCTTACTAAACACTAATTTAAAGGCTGGCAGGAAGGTTTCCTTATTAATATAGTGGATGTGACTGCGTGCTAAGGCCGAAATCTTGTCGCTATACAGGCGCTTTAGTGGCGAGAAGCAGGCGACGTTAAGTGGCTGCAACAGGTGCGACAAGTGCAGGGGCATACAGAGAGTGATTATCTTCTTCTCTCTGCAGAGATCTTGGAAAGCCACTAAGCAGTGGCTCTTATGGCTGTCAATAATAAGTAGCTAGTAGACCCTAACTAGCTTTGCATGCGTATTAAAGTGGTGGAGCTAGGCAAGCGCTAGATTGTTATTAGTCTAGCTAGTAGGACTAATATTAATAACCTAGTCCTGTAGGAGGTCCTTAGTAAACTAGTTAGAGATAAGAACCTTGCCTGTAAGGATAAGGAATAGTAGGATAACCTTCCCTATTAACCTAACGCCTTGTACTAGGGTAACCTACTTACAATTGCTAGGTTAGATCTTCTTCTGCTTCCTAGGCTTCTCTAAGCCTGTTACTACTAGCTGTAACAAGATCTTGCCTATTAGGAAGCTAGACTTATTAAAGTTGTATATATCCTTGTCTATAATACTATACTTTGCCTTTATAGACTGAACAAGCGTGAACTAGGGCTGGATAACTGCTAGGTCCTCGCAGGCAGTCCGCTGGCGATCGTATGGGCGGGTCCACCGCTTCTAGAGCTCTAGTGTACGCTTTACTAAGTTGTCAACCCAGTTCTTGCCAACAGGCTTTGCGCCGCGCTCTCTTAGCAGTTTATCTACCATATCTTGTACGTCTGCCTTTAAGGAGGGTAGGCCACGCGCAGATTCCTCAAGTATACGTAGTACAACTGCCTCCTCTTCTAGCTTTGTAAGGCGCTTCGCATTTGGCTCGCAGTTGTGTCAAGAGCATGTTCTGTCGCGTTAGTATTGGATTGTTTGTTTAGGCACTTTGTAGACTTTCTTAGCATGTTAGATACTTTAAATTTAGTTTCTTAAGATATTAGATATAGCAAGCTGTACATTAGCTTTAGTATAGAGTGTAGGAGCTTGTTGTGGTTGAGACATTACGCGCTGTTGTTGCGCCGGCGTTCTGGCAGCGAGAGTGCGGCGCTCGGTTGGGTGCGGCGCTCGCTTGTGAAACACGTTACACAAGGTAACAATCTTATATTCTTTATAACTAGTACTAGTAGAACTTAACTAAATTATAGCTCTTACGTTATAGCTGTCTAGAATAAGTAGCTAATCCTAACTTGTTATTTGTCCAACCTGAAGAAGTTGCAGTCACAAATGTTAATTGTTTTCCTAGCTTAATATCCTCCACCTAGGAGCTTTGTATGGTGTTGTCCTTGCCTGTGAAAATAAGACCTAGAGGCAGAGCGCTGCCATCAGCGCAGACGCTTGCTAACAGCGTCACCCAATCTCTATTGCTGTCCTGTAGCAACTGCCTGTTCTTCTGCTTCTTGTACAAGCGCTTGCTGAAGATCCTCTTGCTCCTAGCAACAAGACTAATAGCACAGCCTTTCTTATCTATGTTGTATGTGACTATGTGTTAGCTGCCCTAATGTTGTATTCTTTAATTTTGCTGTGCAGGAGGCTGAAATAGGCCTTGTACTTGTTGCTGTTATTAGCAGCGTAGCGTACTTTGTCTATTGTAGTGGTCTATTTGTAGAGAAGCTTCTCAGTATGACAGTTAAGGAAGTTAGTAACCTAGGTCTTGCTAACATAATCTTTAGCAATTTCTGCTGCAAAATTCTTAATTATCTACCTTGTAGGTAGTAAATAATGCTTAGTAAGCTCCTCTATATAATTACACAGGTTACGCTCTTGTTACAGTGACAGTGTGCGTTGTTGAAGGTCTGCCTCTGCACGTGGGACAGTAACGCGTTAGTTATTGTGCAACAACATTAACCTTAAGAACCCTATCTAATTAGCAACTTCTTAGTAGCAAATTTGTCCGTCTAAGCTCACTGCATGTGCATTTTTAAGTGCGTTAAAAACAGTTAATATTCTATAGAGTTATAGTGTTGAGGAGAAAAGTATGTTTTGGTGCTCGCGTGCATTGACCCGACGCGTGTATTGACCCGGTGGTCTCGGTACCGGTACCGTGTCTGTGCGCGTGATGCCCGGATTCGCCGATGCCCCGAACCACAAAAACAAGCACCTGCAGACATGAGGCTGTAGAGCTACACAGAATAGCTACTATCACAAGATTTTGTAGCGGATTAATCTATAAAGATGTGCGATTGTTCTAGCTACTCAAACTTCTCACGTGGAGCAATTTTGCGGCCACGAGAGTTGTATACAGCTGGTGGTGATAGGGAGCGCGTCGCATCAACAGCATGACTACTACTACCTCCACTACTATGCTCACTTCTAACGTAGATTATCACCGAGCCAGCCATATCACTAAACCAGCCATTTTCTCTTAGCACAACTAACACAAGTTACTGCAACTACAATACTTACTATTAAATAGTGACCTAGCATACTGTATGCTTGCATTATATTTAGAAGATGTTTCTGCACCCTCCTAGCACGTTCGTGCGTTGTGTCTAGTTTTGCTGCAGTTCCTACAGCGCTGAATAGTTAACTAAGCTCCTAGTTAACCACCTCTACCCTAAGTCTTCTTAGATAGCTGAGCTGCTACACACGCCTCAGCAGCTACCTGCAATGCTGCTGGGCCATACTTAAGTGTGCCACCATGCTAAATCTACTTTCTCTTACGCAATTTTCTCTTAGTTATTACTACTAATTGCTCTTTAAGCTCTCGCACACAGGCCTTAATAAGGACATTTTTGTGTAGTATCTCTTTAGCCCCTTTTACAAGCTTTAAGAACCTCTCTTGCACTATACTTAGTAATTATTAGAAGGAGTTGCTTATAAGCTTAGATTAAGACCTAAACTTGTGTGTATTGCTTAGCATCTTAGATTGCTATAGTGTTTTAGGTAGAGGTACTGCTAGTAGGGTATGCAGCTACACTTTAAGGCAATCTAACACTACCTATATATTAGTAGGAACAAGCTCTAATACCTTAAAGGCCTTTTAGTAGTTAACCTTTATAAATATATTTAGGAATATATCCCTAAAGGCTTGTAGGAAGCCTTCCTTGTTAATATAGAAGATATATTAGTGTGCTAAGTCTTAAATATATTAGGAGTATTTATACTTTAATAGTAAGAAATAGACTATATTAAGTAGCTAGAGGATATATAATAAGTAAGGTAGTATATAGAGAGTAAGGATTTAGTTCTCTAGGTAATAGTCCTTAAACTCCTAGTTAAGATAGCTCTTATAGCTATCTAAGATAAGTAACCTATATACTCCTACCTAACACGTCTTTATATGCGTGTTAAAGTGCTTTAACTACTTAAGGCTAAGTATATTATTTGTCTAACTATTCTTAGAGACTAAGAGCTTCTAATTATAGGGTATATCTGTCTCCTTATACTAGGCAGAGATGTGGACGCGTCCTTTGTAGATGATAAAAGGTGGGGTTGCATACCTAGCAGCGCAGATGCTCTGGATAACGGTAACCCACTCGCGATCACCTGGCTGAACAAGCTCTGGCTGAGCACGTCTCTCTAAGCCTGTTACAACCTTTAAAGACAAAGCAACACCTATCTAGAACCTAGTTTTATTAAAGTTATGTATATTATTGTTGCAAACGCTATACTTAACTTAAGTATCCTCTACTAGCTTAAACTATGTGCTAATTATCTTAGGATCTTCCTATAGTATCCTCTATCTATCCTTAGCTTAATTAAAGGCCATTTTAAGCTCGTCTAAATGCGTTATAAGCCTGCTAGCCTATAGTTTGCTAACAGGCTCTTCACTACGCACACTAAGTATCTTATTAGCCATATCTGCTACCTTACATAGCTACATCGGGAAAAAATTTTCCGTTGTCGAAATCAGGAAATCGTGGCATTGTACTGTGGGCAACAGTAGGACTTGTAGGCCTACAACAGTTATTCAATGTGCATTCAATGTC